GGAAAAAAGCAGTGAAGGGAGGTGTGATGGAAAAAACTTCCGTTTTTCCACCGGACCAGCCACAGTCGGATGAAGACGCTGTGGGCAAGACAGTCACCAGACCGCCCGGTTTGCAGATTTTGCCGCATGGGAATTCTTCTGGTCATCTGAGCAAAGGCTTCTTCCTTGAGTTCGACGAGAATGGTAACCAGAGGCCGGAAATGCAGTTCATTTCTGTCAAGTTGGACACGATTCTGGATATCCCTGATGAGGAATTCAGATATAATCAATGCTTCCTCGATCAGGAGCTTATTGATAACCTTTACAAAACAATGGTTGAGTCGGGTGAGGCAGCTATCAGAGAGAGAACGACCGGGGCAACCGTGGTGAATGTATGTGCATTATACGAGAAGTCTGTCCTTCTGTTGATTGGGCTACATAATACAATGCATACTGACGCTTCCGGTACGAATGTGAGGGCGAGAAGAGTGACGCCCCGCGAATTCGATCTCCAATCCGTGCGCAAGTACTACTGGTACTCTCTCAGTGGTCAACACAATGTTGCAGCGGCGAGGAAATGTTCTCAARAACGCCCTGACATCGCCYGTGAGCTCCGTTTGGATTGCTGGACTGCAAGGCCTGTTTACTATYCGGATAGGAGCATGRAAAATTACTGCACCTTGAGCACTTTCCAAAATGCGAAGGACAAATGGAATACTCCTCCGCACCAGATTGCTATCATTAAGAACATACGAAAGTTGTGGCAAGCAGCCGGTCGTCCAGAAGCTATAGGCGGATCAGCTGCAGACGTCAAAAATAAGGATTACAGAGAGTTTGCGGCGATGGCTCTGCGCGCGACCGGGAGTGATCATTTGGTTACTCTTTCACTTCAGCCTTGGAGCAAGGAGTGGTCCGACGTCCTCGGGCCTTACATGATATTGGCAAGGGCGACGGACGATGTGTTCGAGAAGGTGCAACAAGTGTACTCTACTTGGGAGAATGGACAGTTGCCGGGGAAAGATGGTGTGAAGCTTGCCACCAAACAAGGTGAATCGGGGAAAGCGCCGAGACCTGGCCCCGGATTCGAGTTGGAAAAAGGAGTCAGGGTTTCAGTGCACTGGATTCAGGGTACTAGAGGACCTGGTTACCTCGTGGTTGTGCGCGATCCGGATGTCAGATCATGGAAGGCTATGTCTACGTTGGGGAGGCGTGAGAGGCTGCAGCTGTTGAGAGACATTCTCACGGGAAGTGTCGTACTGGCTTCAAGGCTAAGTAAAGTTGCTCACACTGCCGGGAAACATTCGATGGAGACATACGTGGAAATGGTGAAGCTGGAAAGAGCAATGTTGAGAATGTTTCACTACTTCGTCTTCATTTCTGACCCTCACAAGAAGCCGTCAGAGTGGAAGGAATCATTCTTCGACAACCTTTCTGATTTGTTCGCTAGGTATTCTGATCATGGATTGACATCAGAGAGGTGGATTGACCAGCGACGGCATTTCAAAGAAACGAGTTGGGTGCGGTCATTTCCGGCTACACTTGGAGGCGAGGATGAGAAAGGAGAGGAGGGCTTCAAGAAAACAAAATTGCTTGCAAATAAATGCCCCGAAGAGTTCATTCAATTTGTCAACAAGTTGTTGCGTAGATCTGAAACTGGGGGTTCGCATAACATTCGTATGTCGGGACAAGCGAGATACATACATTTCCAGAAACAGGACGTGACATCTGTATTCGTGTCGTTCCAGTGGGAACCGAGCGATGTTTAGAGCCGTCAGACACCTGACGTGCCACACAGTCGTCCTGGATTTGTGCCGCCCGACCCAGATAGGTCCGTGGACTGAACAAGTGTTTGCTGGACTCAAGACGTTCATGGACAAACTTGGCGGCGAGTATTGGACATTGTTGTGCTTCGTTCCACGCCCTTGCGAGTTCACATTCTTGAGGCGAGTTGCGATGTGGGACATTCAATTGGATCTTCTCAAATGGACTCGCCTACAACAAACAAAGGGGAAAGTGTATAAGGTTGCAAACTTGCCTTTGGAGGACACAGACAGAATGGTGGTCATAATGTACTCCAACGACGGGGATTTTCATCGCAACATTATTCCCTTGTTTGAAGATATTCAAGCTGCAGGTCCATCATCTGCCGAGCGAGTGGCTGACATATCGGCACTTGTGCGGAGAGAGAGAAAGCCGAAGATGTTGACTGATGTCGTGGAGAAGAACTTTCTACCATCAAAGTGGAAAATGGCAGGTATGGATCCACCGGAGAAAGTGGTCTATGATGGTAGGGAAAGGGAGCCGAATGCGATGGTGGAGACATTGGAGCATTTTTGTCCTGCGGATGAGGCTGTCGTTTTCCTCGGGAAAGGTCATGCGGGATTGGTTTAGGAGCTGTTAAAGAGTCACCGTCATTGCATTGTGCTGGAAGAGGAGGGTATGAAGTTCGAGTTTCTCATTCAGTTCATTGACAAGATGGTCAAAACTCGAGATTACCACGCCAACTTTACTAAGCTGCCTCCTCGACATGATGAAGGGCGTGATCTCGTTTACAAGGTTGGCCAAAACGTGGTCAATATTTGGGAGTTTCTCTTCGAAACAAAGCCGCAAGACAGAGGGGAACGTACTTATGTCCTCAAAAGAAGAAAAGTGGAGAAACTCTTGAGGGGTTAGCATAAAGCACCATCGGAGAAGGAGGTTTCATTTCTCGACCGCTTGGAGACCATGTACTTCGACCAACAAATCGGGGCGTTTACAATTGCAGGTTATGCGACTTGTTTTGTGGATGGTGAGGACTTTGATGCCGACGACTCAGAAGAAGAGAGTGTTGATGGCACTTTGCAAGCGGAATTGGCAGCTGAGAGGCAAAGAGCTTGTAGCCCAGGTTCGCAGAGAATGGGTGTTCCAGGCACATTGTCCGGTTCTGGAGGAGCTTCGAGCATGGTGGTTTCAACGGGTCAGTTAATGACTCAGCCGCCGACTTTTTCTATTGTTACGCTGACTCGGATGGCGGGCAATACGATGACGGTGGCATCCGGAGGCAGTCTGGATCTGAGTGTTCAAGCAATGCTCTCCCAAGAGTTGGTGGCAACTCTGGCACCATTTGCACACAGCCCAAGTACTATTATGGAATTGCTTCCAGGGCCTATGGAGTACGATTATGCACAACAACCTCCACCTGATGAGCCTTTGGAGTACGAGATTGGAGACACAATCCTTGCAGACATTCGACTGCTTCCAGGGCCTATAGTGTGCCGAGACGATTATACGGCGACGGATGATGCCACATGGGGTCATCACATTATATGGCACCCCCAACACTTCCAACCTGCACTGGCGAGAGGGAGGTGGGTTATGGCTATAAAAGAAGAAAGGGAGTGGCAGTTTTGCCTCCACAGACGTATGTCAAGATCGAACTTTCTGAAACATGCCAAAAATCAGATTGCCAAGCGACTCCAGCGTCTTAATCCGGAGATTTCTCAATCAAGACTACATGAAAGAACAGAAGAAATTTTCCAAGAGTTTAAAACATCGCAGTGGCTTGAGTATCTGGAAGAGTTCTATGATAGACAAACCAGCCCGGCTTATGGATATTATTGGCATGTCAGAGAAGATCTTGGGGACAGGAAAAAATTAAGCGGCGGTGGTGACCATGGCAAGGGATCCGGATCGAGCGGAGGTGCACATGGCAAAGGATTGCGATCAGGGAGCGGTGCAAGTGACAAGGGTACGAAACCGAATGACGGTGCAAGTGGCAAAGACGCAAGTCGTGGGGAACGGCAACAAACCAAAAAGTCTAAGGGGCGTCAAGCAACAAAAGGCAAGGGATCAGCACCAAACGGCGATGGGCATGGCAAACCTACAGGACCAAGCGGCGGTGGTTCAACTCTCGAAGGGTCTCAGGGGCCTCAAGAAACAGAGCGCAAGGGATCAGGATCGAGTGGTGGTTCAACTGTCGAAGGGTCCCACGGTCGAGTCGAACACGACAGTGGCCTCGCATTGGAGCGTTCCCGGCTTGATCGAGCGAAGAGTCACACGGTCGAGTCGAACCCGACAGTGGGATCGGAAACGATCGCCGGTGCGACTGGCAAGGCTTCGGGACCTCGATCGGAAACGATGGCCGGTGCGACTGGCAAGGCTTCGGGACCACGGGGGGGCAGTACAACTATCGGCGGTGCTTCACCTGTCAAAGAGTCACGCGGTCGTGTCGAACACGACACTCGTCCAGCAGTCACTGTCGAGTCGAACCCGACAGTGGGAATGGGATCAATCGTCGGTACAAATGGCAAGGCTTCGGGACCAATCGACGTTGTTTCACCTGTCGAAGGGTCACACGGTCGAGTCGAACACGACAGAGGTCCACTATTGGAGCGCTCCCAGCTTGACCGAGCGGAGAAACTCGTGGTTGAGTCCAACCCGACACAGCAACGGGATCGATTGTCGGTGTGAGTGTCAAAACTTCGGGACGAAAAGGCGGTGTGAGTTGCGAGGGCGTGAGTACAGCTGACCAAGTTTGGGCGACTACAATACTAGTGGGCGATAGTGTCGCGATGGAAGTGGATATTACTGGTACACTCACGGAATTGTAGATGCCGTCGTCAACGATGAAGGTCGAAGTAAGCGGCACTTTCCAAGACACTTTTGAGGGTATCAAGGAGGAAGAAACTCTCCATGTACAGGGCATCGAAGAGGATGAAGGACATATAGTACTAAGTACACCGGAGCAAGTTGTACTTGTACAACCTCAACAAACGCTTGAACAACCTCAAACACCACAGTCTGTTAACCTCATGATAGCTATCGAGGAATCTCCTATTGCGCCATTGCATATGAAAGGTGTGACAGAAGGTCGTGTTGAAGAAAAACTGAGAGTTAGCCATCGAGGTGAACACTTTCTTATCTTAGGAGCAATATCTAATACTATATGCGGATTAGTGGGTACATCACATGCACTCATCTCCCATTGTGTCGATCCCTCTGATGTATTGTTTATTTACCTAGCTTTGGAACTGTGCGTTTTCTAAAGAGAAATACTACAATTGTTTTGTATGAAGACTTAGTGCAATTGCCATATATTTTGTATTGGTTTTCATGAGTCACTTTCAACAACGGAAAGTCGGACTTGTAACTCATTATGTTTTATTTTGTCAATCATGCAGGGCGATGAAAAGAATTGTGGAAAACGACACATGTATATTCGCAAAGGAAGAGAGAAAAGAATATCATTCGTCGTGGCCTGCAAGCTTTGTCAACTTTGCCGTTATTGTCAAAAAATGAGAGAAGAAGTCGTACACCCATGACATTTCTATCTGTGAAGCCAGCTACCTTAAGGATGTTTAAAGTTGTTGGAATAAGTCTCACAGAAGGTAAGAAATTGCATCGCGCGAGTTGCAGTTTATCTGTTATGGATAGCAGCACTGATGACGAAACAGGTAGACAAATAACAACATGAGCTCATATCTATGTAGTCTATCACTTGTTTTTGTGTTAAGTCTTAGTCGCTCTATCGTTGTTTATATGTGTGTTTGTATGCAGTGCATGACCCTTCGTTCCAGATTCCTTTAGCAACAGTACGCCTTACTGTAGAAGAAAAGGAGTATCTTGAAATAGTTACCGGCAACACTGAAGAGAATGAAGAATACGACATTGTCGATTACAAGGGGAGGTGGAAGGTGGAAAAGAAAGACGTCATGCTCGCCGCCAAAGATGGGGAATGGTTAAATGATGAAGTCGTCAATTTGTACCTGCTAGCCGTTCAGATCACCAATTACTACATCAAGAAGGTAGATTCGACATGTGCAGAAGTGGCAAAAGATGAAAGTTCTTGTAGCATTCCATTTGTGCATATTCTAAATTTTTTTTTCTTTCCCAGATTGTCAAAAGCTCAGTCCGCTGAAATTGCATACTCCGAAGGGACGAGATGGGTGAAGGACATAAATCTTTTCAATTTTAATTTGGTAATTATCCCTCTCCATTTCAGAAATCATTGGGCCTTAGTTTATGTCAGTATAGATCGCTCTGAGTGTAAATTCCGTCTCGTAGACTCTCTCCATCGTGTTGACTACGGTCCAACCCTCGAACTTTTTGCAGGTTTTTTCATAGCGGAGTTTCAGCGACAAAATCTTCGGGAAAAATATCATGTGGAGGAGCCTACATCCTACTTTGATACATCAGTAGATGGGATTCCTGCTCAAGAGGATGCTTTTAGTTGTGATGTTCTTATGTTAGGTTTTGCATCTTTGTTTTCAAAAGGTCACTTCCCTCCGTTCGGTTTCTCACAAGATAGTATTCCTGATATGAGACTTAGAATAGCATTTGACATTTTGTCTATAGTTAGATAGGAAAGTCATTGAGAATTCAGGTTCTAGGTTTGGAAAAATGAGGTTGACATGTTTACTTAGTGTGAACATTCCGGGTGAAAATATGTATTGTAGGCAATTTTGAAAATATGTTGACAATGTCCAATGACATTTCCTAGTCTAAGACTTCTCATCAGTTTTTGACGAGGTTGGCATGTTTTACTGAGTGACATGTTTACAGAGTGGATTGCCAACAATGTATAATGACATTTCATAGACTTCTCATCAGTTTTTGATGACGTTGGCGTGTTTTACTGAGTGACATGTTTACAGAGTGGAATGTCAATCCTTGAGTGACATGTTTGCGGCTTGTGTACGTGTGAACATTCGAGGTGAAAATTTGTGTTTAATTTTCTTCAACAGCTTTCATGTATAACCATTGTTTTCTCGTTGTTTGCTTATTTTTCCCTCAGTTCTTTGTGTCATTTTACAATTAAAATAAAAAGTGAACATGAAAACAATTTCGTTTTTAACGAAAACACCGTTTGATGTGGTGCCCCTTTTCTCTCATAGTTGTGGCTGACTTGTTGAACACATCGTTCTGTGGCAAGTGACTATATCTTACCTACATCAGATAGAGCACAAGGTGCATGTGCCCTATGTGAGCTGAGCTTATCTGGGCTGCGCAACGATAGATTGGACTGAGGTAGTGAAATGGCGGTCTGAGGAAATGATTAGCTTTTGTAAAGAGGTGTTGCCTTGTGTCCTGATCATATTTTAGTCGCATACGCTGCGCATTGGCTGCATCATGCTGGGCTGTTGAGCAGACACCATTGATGCCCTGCTGCACGGTACGGTGACCTACGGGGTGTTATGACTTTGTGCATTACTACAATATCCAGCTGTTGCACGCTACTGTTGGGGGTGCGGTGAACTTGCTGAACACCCAGGTTAGACCCTGCTGGTTGAGCTTGTATCAGGCGGATCGCTACGTTGATCGCGCCTTGTCATACGGGCGTGTTCCCAATCGCTGCAATCAGCATCTAGTTGAACTCAACCGCAATTACTGTGTCTTCGAATAGAGCACGGGGGTGTGCACTATGTTAGCGGTAGCATGTAGGTTCCTAGACTGCGCATGGCGTCTTAGTCAGGGGTTGAAGTATGGTGGTTTTGAGAGGGTGATCAGGCTTTGCGGAGGGACTACTGATGCAACTCGGAGGTCTGTCAGGGTGTTGTTTTCTACGTCTTGGTCGTTGTATGACCACTCTTGCTGCATGTTCTTGGCCATCATTGCGGGGCCCTCAGGCGAATTAAGACTACAAGGCCCTCTCCCGCGAGTTTGAGAGCACCTCCCTTGTATCTGAGAGCCTGAACTTTCTCCTTCTGCCCTCCTTATTCTAAGTCTAGTCTTTGGTTATGAGAGGAAGGCGGCAGGAGGGATTGCAACCCATAGGTCCGCAACAAGACCTTGTGGGAGGTCCACCCACCGATTGCGGGAGCTCTGCCAGAGCCCAGGCGGGGTTCTGGAGGCAGGGAACAGTCAGATATAACTTTCGTCAGACGCGTGTGATCCTTTCCCCTAACTGCATTATTCATTTGGGTATCTGAAGATAACTATGAGAGGTTATTATTTTTTTTTGTTTTCTTATGTATGTCAGGACATGCTTTGCGAAAGGTTTAAATAAACAGATATATGTGAGAGATCAGATAACTCCGTGAGAGAATTCAGACAAAGGTAAATTGGGGAAAGGAAGGTGTTATGCATGCGTTTGATCGGGTTAACCCAAGGCTGAGCCCCTCCGGGTGGATGTGGGCTCAGTGTTATGTTTTATTGAGGTTTGTTGATCTGAATGTGGCTCTTATGGCTGATCTACCCGGGTGGGGTAGGATCAGTCGCTGTTTTATTTGAGGGTTTCTGAACAGGAGGATGGGCACCCCGGGTGGGGAAGGCTCATAATCCTGGTGTTTATTTAAATGAGTTATGGTGCATGTTTTTTTCTGAGGGAATAACGGCATAAGACCAAGCGTACCCTAGGGTTAGGGCGGCTTAGCCATAAGCCACGAATTAACTGGCAAACCAGAAGTATAAATTTATATATATATATTTTATTGAACTTATACTTCTGACAGACGGGCACCCCGGATGGGGAAAGTCAGTCAGTAAGTCAGGTAGAACTAAGGAAGAGGGAAAGAGATGAAGAGTAAAACAAAGTTAACTGGGCAGACTGAACGTACCCTAGGGTTAGGACGGTTCAGTTATATGTTCATGATAACACTAAGGAGCACAGAGTTAGTATAAATTTGTTTTATTTTTCCTTCTAGACAAGAGGCAGGATCAAAAGTTCCATTTTATTGGAAAGGTCCGATCGACTACTTAATAAGAGAAGGAAAAAACATAAAGTCTGTGAAAGTATTTGTACCCTATTTTATGTTGTATGGCTAACTAGGCCTAACCCTGGGGTTAGGGCGGCCTAGCGATAAACTTTTGTCGTTTAAAGTAAGTTGGACGTACCCTAGGGTTAGGGCAGTCCAGCGTTTCGGTGTTTATAACTGTTCAGGCAGATCAGGCACACCCTAGGGTTAGGGCAGTCTGATCACATTGCCTTATGTAACTTAAACTGTATGGCTAACTAGGCGTACCCTAGGGTTAGGGCGGCCTAGTGATATGCTTTTGTCGTAGATGTGTTGTGGGTTGGACGTACCCTAGGGTTAGGGCGGTCCAGCTTTTTGTCGTTTGTACTTATGTTCAGGCAAGCTAAACCTACCTCTGGGTAGGGATGGTATAGAATGATGCCGTATGTAACTTTGTTTAAAGCAGATTGGGCATACCTTAGGGTTAGGGCAGCCCAGTTCTATGCTCTTTGTCGTCAGTTAGGCAGAAGCCAGACGTCCTTAGGGTTAGGGCGGTCTGGTCATATGCCTCATGTGTACAGTTCATGTTATGTTGGGCATACCCTAGGGTTACGGCAGTCCAAATGTGCGTACTTTACTTGAATGTGTACCTAGGCAGGTTATGCATACCCTAGGGTTAGGGCCTTGTCTGACCGTATGTCATAGGAAAGGGGGATGTAAAAGGGAACGAACTGAGCGATTCAACGAACTACTTGGACTAAATTAATGTGGGATTGTGAGATATGTTTGGTTATGCATGTTTATGGGCTCCCACTCTGGGGCATCTCTTTGATAGTTTAGTTGCTTTAGGTGCTCGCCGAGTGCTAGAGCTATAGGCATGTAGGATGGATGATGGGAGGGAAAGTTTGGGATAAGATAGGACTGACTCTACTAGGAGTTAGGATCAGTGTTATCGCATAGCCTCATCAAGAGGTCGTACAGATTGTCGTTGATTCTACCTTCCAAGTAAGTGTCAGGAGTTAGTCCCAAGTATAGCTTCGCTTTGTCTTTCTGTTTTCAGCTTTGTATAAATTTTGGCAGCCATTTTGTGAAATTTGGAGAGTTTGATTGTTTTC